ACCACACCAGGACTCCTCTGCTGCCTTTAGGATAAAATGTTAAATTATTGCTATAGCATAAAATTCTGGTCCTTGTTCACTTCCTCAAAATCAACTCCTACCAATTTTCAAGGAGCTCTGGTAGTGTAGTAGTTACGAATCTGGCTGCGAACCTCAAGGTCAGCAGTTCAAAACTACCAACTGTTCTGCAAGAGAAAGATGAGGCTTTCCGCTTCCGTAAAGATTTACAGCCTCAGAAACCCTGTACAGGGGTTGCTATGAGTGGGAACCGACTCCACAGCACATAACCACCAACATCATCATCACTTTTTAAAAGGTACCTTATGTTTATGCCACCCCAAACTACTTAAAAACCAGCAACAAAATACTGCCATCGAGTTTATTCTGACTCATAGTGACCTTAAATAGGTTTCCAAGGCTATGTGTATTTATGGGAACAGAAAGCCTCACCTTTCTCCCTCAGGGCAGGTGAAGGGTGAAAGGTAGGAAGTCCTTGTCCTACCATGCTAGATCTCCAAAATATTCTTTCTCACATTTTTTTTTCATTTGGAAATTCTGTGCTTCTGATTAGAAGAATTCATTTGTCCTTGTAGTCTGTTTAATTCCTACATGTTCATTTTAAAGCTCTTTTTAAAAATCACAAAGCGTCTGCCTTCCAAGCGGAGGGGCTGCTCTCCAGTACTGACATGGCAGTCTGTTGTAGTGCTTTGCACTCTGTATTGTCAGTGTTCGTTTAAATTTCTGTTTCCACCCTAGACAGAACATCTTGACGTCAAGGATTACTGTCTTGTTAGTCTCTATATTTTGGGGTGGCAGTGTTGTACACCAAACAATTTACAAATACAGGTCACCAAATCCACATCACACTTATTGCTTTTGAATCACCTAGAGAGATTTCTAAGGAGCTCTGGTAGCGTAATGGTTACGAATCAGGCTGCAAACCTTAAGGTCAGCAGTTCGAAACTACCAGCTGTTCCGTGGGAGAAAGATGAGGCTTTCTGCTCCCATAAAGATTTACAGCCTCGGAAACCCTGTACAGGGTCACTATGGATCGGAACCGACTCCACGGCACATCACCACCACCACCAGGAGATTTCTAGATAAAGACAGATTTCTAGATAAAGGCAAATTTTATGGGTCGGAACTGACTCCACGGCACATCACCACCACCACCAGAGAGATTTCTAGATAAAGGCAAATTTCTAGACCTTATTCCCAGAGATTCTGGTTCAGTAAATCTGAGGCGTGCATGAGAATCTGAATGTTTCAGATGCTCTCCAGATAATTCTGATATCTGGCCAGGAAGCAATTAGGATTTGGAAGTCAAGCTGATCTGAAAAATTATAGCCAAGTAAGACAGTCTTTTATTCTCGATGAATCATTAAAAAGAGGCCAATTCAATTATTTTTATGTACATGTTACTTCTCTGCAACTCTAGCTTTATGGAATTCTGGTGGCACTGTGGGTTAGGCATTTAAAATCTCTTAGCAATTACTCTTTCAATTGCTCCGCTTACACTAGGGATATATAATAAAAACTATTTCCCTTCTGATTGGTATTTTCAAAGTGCTTTCACATCTTTCCTCAACAACCTTGTATAGAGGGTAAGATCCAATTGACTTTATCATACTTACTGTTTGCTTCCGCTTTCTCCTTAACTAAGCCTTGTCCATTCAGCCCATCCCAGACCCACTTCCAGTCTATTCTCCTATTGGCATGGAGCTTACATTCTAGTGGGAGTAATGAGGTAACTTCTATATGAAACCTTTCTCCAGCCTATCCTAGTCATGGACAAGCTATGGATAACAGTGTGAAGAATGGGTATTCCAGAACACGTCATTGTGCTTATGAAGAACCTGTACGTATTAGAGGCAGTCGCTCAAACAGAACAGGAATGGTTTAACATCAGGAAAGGTGTGAGGCAGGGTTGTGTTTTTTTTTTACTATACTTATTCAATCTGTATACTGAGCAAATAATCTGAGAAATTGGATTATATGAAGAAGAACGTAACATCAGAATTAGAGAAAGACTCATTAACAATCAGAGGACTTAAAATATTTACTGATGAAGATCAAAGACTACAGTCTTCAGTATGGGTTGCACCTCTGCTAAAAAAAAACAAAAAAAAAAAAACACCTCACCATTGCACCTATAAAATAACATCATGATAGATGGAGAAAAGATTGAGGTGGTTAAGGACTTCATTTTGCTATCAACTATCTATCAACACAAAGGAGCTCTGGTAGTGTAGTGGTTACTAGTTGGGCTGCTAACCTCAAGGTCAACTACTTCGAAATTAGCAGCGGTTCCATGGGGGAAAGATAAGGCTTTCTGCTACGATAAAGGTTTATAGCCTCGGAAACACTATACAGGGTGGCTGTGAGTCAGAATCGACTGCGCCACACCACCACCACCACCATCTATTGACACTCAAGGAAACAGCAATCAAGAAATTGCATTAGGTAAATCTGCTACACAAGACGTCTTTAAAGTGTTCAAGAGCAAAGATATCAGTTTGAGAACTAAGGTGCGCTTGACCCAAGCCATGGTATTTTCAATAGTCTCATAGGCTTGTGAACGTTGGACAATGAATAAGGAAGACTATAGAAGAATTGATGCATTTGAGCTATGGTGTTGGAGAAAAATATGAAAACCACCATGGACTGCCAGAAGAACAAACGAATCTATGTTGGAAGAAGTACAGCCAGAATGCTCCACAGGAGAAAGATGAGGCTTTCTGCTCCTGTAAAGATTTATAGCTTCAAAAACCCTATACAGGGTGGCAGTGAGTCACACCACCACCACCACCACCATCCTAGTCTGGAGACCCAGTGGCAGAACGATTAAGCACTTGGATGCTAACCAAAAGGTTGATGGTTTGAACCCAACAGTTGCTCCATGGGAGAAAGATGCAGTAGTTTGCTTCCATAAAGATTACAGCCTTGGGTTTCCTCCTATGAGGCAGTTCTGTGCCCCCTAGGATCACTCACTGTAAGTTGCAATAGACTCATTGGTGGTAGGTTGCATTCTCCATTTAACTGAGTCTTCTAATCGGGATTTCCTCCAAAAAATGTATTGGAGAAAGGCTTCCTTTGTGCCCTGACCACATCATATCCGGTCATAAGGCAAATTCTGCTGCTATAGTGCTTGTCTGCTACGGAGGGAGCTGTTAGAATTACACATTGGCTCCTGATCTCTCTGACACTGCATAAGCAATTGAATGAGTTATATAGGTCTTCTCTTTAAAAGGATGAAACTCATTCTGTTATTAGCTCCAAGTCCTTATATGATCAATGAGTGCTTTGTGGTGATTCTGACATCAATATAAACCCCATACTTGTTTGAAGATTAGAGTCTGCACCATAACAGTTTTCTCTTTAGTAGGATAATTGGAAAACCTAACAAAAGAGAGCGCAATTTCGTAAAAGCACATCAAAGAATGTCAAAGCTAGGAGAAACCTTTAGAGATGGAGTCCCACTGCCTTTTGTACATCAGAAAACCGAGGCCCAGAGAAACTACTTAAGCTGTTTTGGGTCACACAGTCCAATGGATGACTGTGAAATCCAACTTAAAACCATACTGGGCATCCTCCTTCTAAAATCTTCTAATGAAGTCCGGGTTTCTAACCCTTTCTATGCATCCTTTTATTGTATTAATCGCACATAGCGAATCCAGTCAAATCAAAACAGCAAGCTGGAGCATTCCACACACAGGTGTGAAGACCACGGAGTCCAGAGGTCTCGGAGTCTCCACATGCCCGCCAAGAACTCTCCAGTTCCCGCGTACAAAGTTTTCTCGGATCCTACGTTCCCGTTCCTTTTTCACATCTTTGGCTGCGAGGCCAAGATGCCTGCCGCGGCCTCCGACGAAGTTCTCAGATGCCATATCCTCAAAGACGCCAGCCTGGGCGCGCAGACCTCAGAGCCGGGCGTCCCCGGACCTGGCGGACGGTGGGGAGCGCGCGCTGCCCGGCCGGCTGTGAGGGCCGCGGGCCAGCGAGCCCTG